TTATGAAAATTAATAAAATATAATTAAAGAAAAAAAAAAGAAAATGAGAAAAAAAAAAAAGAAATCAGGGAATTCTTGTGGTCTAGATAAGAAGCTGCACTGCAATCCCAAATGCATGCAATTTGAATTCACCAGCTGGTCTGCAGGTGAAAGATAGGCAGTATCTTCCAGTGTGATTTACTTTCTCTGAAAACTCACAGAGAGTCAGCTATGAGTCAGTCCCGAATCAATAGCACACAACAACAATACATCAGACCCCAGTGTCCTTCAATCTCCTGGTCCAAAATAACAAATCTCAGGACTTTCATCACTTTACTTCCCTGTATCAATCATCTTATAAATGATCAGGCACTCAGAATTTGGGGGCTAGATTCTAATTTTCAACTTTGTTTCTAACTAGCAATGTAAACTTGAAATACACAGACCACCTCTCAGAACTTCAGATTTCCTTTTCTCATAAAGAGAGAAACTGGAAAACATATGGGGGAAGTTCTGCTCTGTCCATCATGGTCATTGAGTCAGCATCAAGATGACAGCAGTGGGGTGTGTTTGATTGGAGGGTACCCCCCATTCAACAATCAGGACCATGCAGACAAATCCTCTGCCATTTCTCTTGACTTCTTTACTGCCATGAAGCCCCTAAGAGTTGAGGAACAGAGCATTTTATCTTATCAGTTGGGGGTGTCAGGGGGGACCAAAACAAAACACACTTGATGTTTATTTAGAATCAGCCCAGCTGAGTTCAAGAGTTTGCTAAAAGGCAAATCAGAGTTAATTTGTTTGAAGTCCTTTGGGGGCAGGGGTGTTAAGATTCCCAATTAATACTTTGTCCATGACTGTTTTTAAAATGAGCATTCTCTTTTTCCTAAAAACTCAGGAGTCTCTTTCTCCACTTCTCATCAGTGTATGTGAGAGAGAAACAAGGGAGAAAGAATGAATTTCTGTTGCCAAGAACAAGCCTTCTGAATGCAGACATACCCAAGAACTCTCGGTTCATCAAGCCATGAGAAAGCTTAAGAAAGTGCTGGCAACAGTCGCCGCCTGCCTGCTGCTCACAGCCTCTCCCCTCTGGCATGGCCATGAAGAGCTCACACTTTTCTTTCCAAAGATTTCTAACAAGCTCATTAGTGAGAATGACCCGGGAAAAGGGAAGCGTTCCCTTGCATTTTCTGATCTGCGCTCCCAGAACACTCTGTCAGGCTCCAGGAGACAGACAATTCAAACCAGAACAGTATTAAACACAGCGCAGCTGATCCTAATTCTTCCCAACCCGCGCGGCCCCCTGGCGCAGCTGGGACGCCGAGGTGGGTAGGACCAGCCTGGCGGAGTCTAACGAACGCCCAGCATTACATTCTTTCTCAGCATCCAGCGCTCGCTACCGCGGGGATTCTCTCACCATAATTCCTCGTTGTGGAATGCACTGACATGAAAAACATGCTTTTAATTTAAAGGGAAAAGCAGAAAAATAGGAGTCGTTACCCCCACCAAAACCAACAACTCCGAACCCTAAGCAGTGTGGGAGGAATACACGTGAGTTTTGAAAAGAACAAGACACAGGTAAGAGAGGGTGAAACAGGGCTAAGAGGGAAGCAGGCTGTGCTGCCTGGAAAGGTACTTTACAAAGGAAGTTGCATTCATAGAAGCCACTGGACTTGGTAACTGTCTACCTGGCAGCAGCGTTCCCCCAGCGCCACGCTCTGGGGCCCTCTCTCCGCGCGCACTCACCTGCAATCCCTTGCAAAAGCCCACAGACGTTGAAGATGCTTTTCTTCATGATGCTCTGCACACACATGGTGAAGACGGACACCAAGGCCACCGTGCAGAGAATGAAGATCCCCACGGCTAAGAAAATAGCAGTGGCCTGCCAGAAGCCACTGGCAATCTCGCCGAAGCTCTCGGCATAGGGCCCGCACAGCGTGTCCCGTTGCAAGTGCTGCACCCCGGGGTTGGGGATGCAACGCGCGTAGATGCCCAGTGTGGGGTGGTAGGGCTCTGGGGCTCCTGGCTGGGCATCCGGCTCCATGGGGCCGCGGGGCGCCTTGGCTTTTCCAATCAGCCAGTCCGCGCTCATGAAGGCGATGAGTTCTGCAAAAGCCACTACAATACTCAGGAGGGTCCAGAGCATCGAGCGACAGGTGACAATGACATGACACATATTGAGGTTCCAAGGCAGGACTCCACGGGTTAATGGAAGGAGAAAGCGGAGGAGCGAAGAGAGGAGAGCGCACGGAGGAGCCCGCCTCGGAGAGGGGAGGTGGCGGCGCTGGTCATTCACTCCGTCAGCTTCTGGTTTTCGCTTCCTCTGGCAGCGAGGTCGGAGCCAGCCAGCTCGTGGTAAGGTCAGTACTCATCCTGACACATGGCGCTCCCTCCGGCTCCCGGGCTCTCGCTGTCCAGCTGCCCTGCAGCCTCACCTTTAGGAGAGAAAGGAGGAGGTCGTTAGGCGAGCGCAGGCCCCGCCCCGGCAGCCTGGCCAACTGCGAACTTCGAGGGCTGAAGCCCAAGTGTGACTGCTGCGCAGGGCAGGGCCCCGAGCGCACACTCACTGGGCTGTTCCCGCCGCCGGGAAACTCCCTGGCTTCATGCTCTCTCACCCCGTCCCTTCCCAGCCGCTCAGGTCCCCGACCGAGCCTCTCTCCACCACGTCCTGGTCCCCAGCCAGCATGCCTGTCTCTCCTAGTGCTTTGGCTGCTTTCCTTTGTTTCAAAGGCTCCCTCACCACACACTCCTAACTGCCTATAGTTGTTAACCTTATCTACAGGGAACAGGAGAGAAGGGAAGAGGCCAACGCCAGTCCCTGCGCCCATCATGGGCACCCTGAGTTCAGCAGGAGGGTACTGACTGCCTCAACCACTTGGGACTCAGCTCCCAACTCCCATCATCTTTTACTAAGAAAAATCAAACAGATCCAGATAGAGCGAGATGTGATGAAATGGAACTATGGCAATGGTTACCTTTTTGTTGGAGGGTTGGGGTTTTTTTTTTTTACCTTTCTTCTAAGGACTCTTAAAAGGGATTCTTACCTGTTACTTAGTGCTCCATAAGCTAAGTCTTAAAAAACATTTCACCAAAAGCCTTAGTTTAACAGTCAAGAGTCGCAACACCCAACTTTTATTACATGGAAATTATTTACCAGCAGTAAACAAGGACTCATGAGAGTGCAAGCTTCTTATGTGAATGAAAATACAAAAGGAAACAATTCCATGAAAAATACTAAAACAGTGTTTCCCAAACTATTTTTCATCTACTTCTCACAAGATTATTTTTAGACAAAAGAAACTACAATGATTAAAACTCAAGGAAGAGCTCATGACTTACTCACTTGGGGAAATTATTAAAAATGGAGGCATTAATGGCCGATATCATTACAATTGAGCGGACTTGTTGACAACAGACACTTGTCTTGAAGAATGCAGTCCCTTGAATTCTCCCAGTTCATCCCCATGTGCCTCTGCCCAGCTTAGACTCACTCTGGGTCTGGAGCTCAACATGCTCATTGTTCCTGATTTCACAGAGGACTCATTCTGTTCCAGGGACAAATGACTTCATTACCAGAGAGAACTTTGCTCTCACAGCCCAAACTTCCAACCAGCAGAGCCTGAACCAGGGGCCATCAGGGCTTGTCTGAAGTCCAGTTTTGGCCATCTCTCCAAGAACAGTTAGAACTGTGCACCTCACATCTGCCTCATGGGAGCATGCCTCATTCCGAATGACTATAGATTTGACTAACCCTGGTCACACAGCTCCGAGTAAATGGGAGTAAATGGCAAAGAGCCTCCTGCCATGCTGGGAGTGGGGCAGGGCAGGGAATTATCTAAAGGGGAAAGAAATGGGGACATAAGGAAGCTCAGTGTTGAATCTTAAACTGTTTACACCGTGCATCAGCTGTCTGCCTATGGCTACCTGGGATTAAGAGGAAACTCTGCTTATCTCCTAAGGCTCAACCTATTTAAAAGTCCTCCTATCAGTTTCGTGCACAAGATGATACTCTGGGGAAACAGGTAACAATACAAAGAGTGTGTGTGTGTGTGTGTGTGTGTGTGTGTGTGTGTGTAACAGCGCTGTGCTGGGTGGTATGTAAGGGAGAAGTGGTGTGCTTCCATTTCAGCAATTTGGAGTTCATCAGGTTTGGGCTCTAAAATTAGCCATATGGACAGCTAACTTCCTGTGCCCCAGCTTCCTCTCTACCACAGGGGGGTTAGCTGCTGTACTTATCTACTTCAACTTACGGTTACAGGAATAAAGAGCCTATAAAGCACTTCATACAGTGGCTGGCTTTCCCCCAGCACGGATGATATCAGCCAAACAACAGCTTAACCACTTGGAGACGATCAGTAAACAGCAGCAACACACAGAAAAGATAAAGCTTCAGGCTATTCAGAGCCTAGAGTTGCAGTACTTAAGATATACCAGGAACAAAAATTTGAGCTCTGGTAGCCTAGTCATAAGAATCTTTGCTGCAATTCCAAAGGCACATGGTACAAATCTGCCAGCTGCTGTGGGGGAGGATGGTAAATCTCCTCCTGTGCAATTAAATGCCTCTGGAAATCCACTGGAGGGTCAGCTATGTGTTGGTTCCAACTCAATGGTACACAACAACAATAACAATAAGCAAAAACATGAATGATCCAAGAAACATTAAAAGTAGATGGAGGGAATACACAGAATCAATGTACCAAAAAGAACTGGCTGACACTGAAATATTTCAGGAAGTGCCATATGATCAAGAGTCACTGGTAATGAAGGAAGAAGCTGAAACTGCATTGAAAGCATCAACAAAAAAATAAGGCCCCAGGATGTGCTCACCAGTCTGTGCCTGGAAATTTGTAGGACAGCTCTCTAGCCAATGCACTGGACAAGTCCGTATTTGCTCCCATTAATGTTGAAATTATAGGAAAATACCATCAATATCATATGCAAGCAAAATACTGCTAAAGATGGTACCAGGGATATTACTGCTGATGTCAGACAGATCCTAGCTAAAAGCAAAGAATACCAGAAGAATGTCTATTTCTGCTTTATTGACTATGTGAAGGCATTTGACTATGTGGATCAGAACAAATTATGATTAACATTAAGAAGGAGTCCCAAGACATTTAACTATGCTCATGTGAAGTCTATACCTAGATCAAGAGGCTATGTGTGAACAGAGCAAGAGAACACTACATGGTTTAAAATGAAAAAGTTGCAACAAATGCTGGGGAGGCTGTAGAGAAATGGGAACTCTTATTCACTGCTAGTGCAGTGTGCCATGGTATAGGTGCTGTGGAAAGCCAACTAGTGCTTTCTCAAAAAGCTGGAAATGGATGTATCATTTGACCTAGTAATTCCATGGCTGGGAATGTGCCTAAAGAGACCAGAGCCATGACTCAAATACATGTATGTATGCACACTTATGTTTATTTCTGTATTATTCACACAACCCAAGTATCCCAAAACAAGAAAATGGACAGAAAAAACTATGATACAATCACACAATGGAATATTATGCAGTACTGAACAGTGAACTCATAAAGCATTACACAATATGGGGGAGCCTGGAAGACATCATGCTGAGTCAAATACTATGTAACTATACTATACTATATAACTATACTATGAAGGACAAATACTATATAACACCACTGTTATAAAATAGGACAGACAGAGGCAGAAGAATGAATGAACACTAGTAGAACAAATAAGAACTGTCTGAAGGGAATGTTTGATTAGACATTATATGTATAACAATTTGGAACAAGTGGTACATTTCTGGGTGGGCTGGAGGAAGGGAGAGGGAGAAAAGAAAATATGCAACAAAAAAAAAAAGGAAAAATAGTATAAATAAATGAAAAAAGTTAACTGGAGGCGAGAGGAAAATGTGCAACACTGAATGAATGAAAACCCAACTTTCCTGTAAATTTTTGTTAAAATTACAACAAAATAAAGTTTAATAATAAAATTAAGATGGGTATGTGTTAGGGATTGCCATTAGTGTATGTTATTTTTGCCCATCCTTCTCCCATGGAGCAGCTGGTGGCCTTGAACTGTGTGCCTTTGGGATTACAGCACAGCTTCCCGTCAGTAGGCCACCAGAGGACTGCAGCCTCCAATATGGATTGAGGCTCAATGTTAAGATGATAAAGATTCTCACCACTGGACCAACTGAGAGGAACAGGATAGATGGTGAAGAGACTGAGATTGTTCACAGCTTTAGTTTGCTTGGCTCCACAGTCAACACTCTTGGTACCAGTAGCCAGGAAATTAGAAGACGTATTGCTATGGGAAAGTCTGCTGTTAGGGACCTCTCCAAAGTACTGAAGTGCAATGGTGTCTCTCTGGAAACCAAGGTGCATCTGATACAGGCCATGGTCTTTGCAATCACTTGTTATGCATCAGAGTTGGACAATGACCAAGGAGGATAGGAGAATTGATGCCTTTGAGCTGTGGTGTTGGAGAAGAGTATTGAGGGTACCATGGACTGCTAGGAAAACAAACAGATTCATTCTGGAAAGGGTCAAACTGGGCGGCTCCTTGGAGGCAAGGATTCTGAGACTCCATCTAACATACTTTGGACATGTTGTAAGGAGGGACTGGTCCTTGGAGAGGGACAACATGCTTGGTAGGGTAGAGGGACAGTGCAGGAAAGGAAGGCCCCCTATGAGGTGGATTGATTCAGTGACTGGGGTAATAGGGATGGTGTATCAGAGACGGTGCGATTGGCACAGGACAGAGCAGAGTTTAGGACTGTTGTACACAGGGTTGCTATGAGTCGCAAGTGACTCGACAGCACGTAACAACAACAACAACAACATCATGTGTTAGGGTTGTATCCTTTCTCAATACCTAAACAATCTGTATTAGAGCAAATTATTCGAGAAGCTAGATTCTTATGAAGAAGAACGTGGCATCAGGATTGGAGGAAGACTCATCAGTAACCTATATTATGCTAATCACACAACTTTGCTTGCAGAAAGGAATGAGGACTTGGGGCATTAGCTGCAGAAGATCAAAAACTATAGCCTTCAATATGGATTACATCTCAATATCAAGAAAACAAAAATTCTCACCGGTAGACCTAGATGATTATGACAGATGGAGAAAAAACTGAGACTGCTAATGACTTCATCTTACTTGGATGCACAATCAATACACAGGTACCAGGAGATCAGGAGA